GGATACCATTACTATTCTCTCTTGGTCTACCTGAATGCAGTGTGTCTGTCTATTTTATTTAGCAATGGTTTATTTTTACAAAGTTTAAGAGCGGCTAATACAAAGGCAGTTACATTTATTAAGGAATTGACATTTTTATTGAAATACTATATAAAATATGCTAGTATTGTACAATACAGTACTGGAGTATTATTATTATGCCAATTGGCATCTTAAAAAACTGTCCTTGGTAAATGGAAACAATTGGATAACTAACCATTCATTTGAGTAGTGGGTTATTGGGAATTTTTTTGTTATTTTGTTGGTTATTTTAATGGAATTTTCCCCTAACAAGGCTACTGTAGCAGTTACTCAAGGTTATAGGTAAAAGAATAAAAAGGAACAAAACAAAATAATTGATATTCTTTTGCCTAATCATGAAACAAAAAAAAATGTCTTTTCAGAGCCATGCCCAAAGATGGAGTTCATGACACTGGCAAAAATCCTCATACTCCAACCAGTAAGGCGAGACTTTTTACCTTGTTTCACAAACTTATTTTTTTAAAGATCGTCAGAGGAGGGCGGAAAAGATAATAAAAATGAAATTTTGTTTACTTATTTAGCAAATAGTTTTGACAAAAACATCCAGATGGAGGAAAAAATAAAAATAAAATTTTATTGGTGAATGTAAACAGTGTAGTAATGGGATGCTTTGAATTTATATAATTAGGAAGAAATATACATATCTTATTCTTGGAGATTTTAAGGCAGCAGCAGGTGTAATAATAATAAAGAGAGATTTTTTTTTTTTCTGAAATTTCCTTATTTTTTTTTGTGGCGGTGGGTGTGCTAATTAGCCATTTTAGTTTTATTGGAAATCATCATTATTGGCAGGCGGCGGGTTCACTAAACAAGGTAAAAAAAAAGGGAAAAAAGTCATCTGGATATTGCGTGGTTTATCAAATTGAAAGATTCCATGGCATTAAAGTCGGCAGGGGTGGATCCAGAGACGTCCGAAAGTGGGGCTGATTGAGATAAAACCACCCTAAGGGGTCCGGGGCATGCCACCTCAAAATTTTTGTTTTCTAGACGCCTGAAAGTAACCTCTATGGCGTTTTGGGCGATCATTTTTTTTCTTTTCCTTTCTTTTTTTTTTTTTTTTACTTTCCAAAAGGCCCCCCCCCCCCACCAACCCGCCCCTGGTAAGAGGGATTGCATAGTCCTGTTACATGATTTTAGCTGCCCGGTTGGGCCTCTTAGGCCTCCTCCTAAGGCTTTCACCCAACACATGCTCTCTCTCATGTTGACTTCATTCTTTGTCATGTTTAATGTAGTATTTTAGTGTAATTTTCTATTTAGTAGCCACGGGGTAAAAGGCATCTTAATCTTCTACTCTTGAACAAACATCCTGACCCAATTGTGATGTTGATATTGCATTATGCTGCTAGCATTTATACTAGGCACGAGTTTTTTGTTTTTAGTAGGCTATTTACACGTTCATTGTTTGTCTCGTGGTAATTATAGCATAAAATAACAGGCCGCTTATTAACTTTTTCTGTTCTGCGGAATGTGGTATCTTAAATTGATGAATATTAAATTTAGCTACAACAAAACAGTTTGAAAACCTTGGAATCACAAACTGAAGTCAATAGAAATTTAATTAGGTAATGTTTTTATTTTGACGATAATATCGGCTTATTCAAAGCAGGGGTATTATGGAGCAAAAACAAGTTGTTTTTGACCAATACTGTTAGCCATTAAAATGATTATGAATTTTAGAATCAGATTCCATATTGATGTCTTCATTGGGGTATTTTTACAATTTGAATATAATTATATGATATTAATTTATCTTAATTTGCTGATTATTATCATTTATAATTATTAATTATTATTTACATATGGTGTAATAGTATAAAGACATGGAATAATAATAATTTATGTTGCTGCAAGATTCCAATCAGCAGTCTTCATAATTTTGATGCTCTGCCAATTTTGCAATCCAGTGGTCTGTCTAACTATCTCTAATTAATAATTATACTTTATCTACTATTATTATCATTATAATCATCATCATCAATATTATAATCATCATACTGTTAGAATAGAGCATATATCCACCATACCACATGCATATCAGCTTCAACTGGTGAAGCAAAACAATATTTATAATATTAATGGCAAATTTATTCCTTTCTTTATCCTATGATCATATAACATATGACTTTTACTGTATTGTGGTAACTGAATTCAAAAGGCCTATAAATTACATGTCTCATAAAATATAATTAATTCCATTTCTTTTTGTTTCTTATTGTTCTTTTGTGTGGAAGTGTGCCCAACAACTGTCTCTTATACACATCTCCTCTATACTTCAGAATTTCAGTGTCTCTAATATTATTCCATTAAACGGGGGCAATATGTATTTTAACACTACGGCCTACCCCTATTAAGGGGACACCACTATTAAGAGGACAGGGACAATTTCTGAATGTGCCAAATGGTCAAATAAAAGGGGACATTTAGTTTTTCTTATCATTCAGCAGTCTTAAAGTAAGAAAAATTCATTCAACTTCATATTGTAACACCTTTTGTGCAATAAACCAATTTTCTCCCCTGAATTCTTATAGTAAACGTTGGTATAGGTCTACTGAATGTGTTACTTCATATAAACCAACAATGCATTATTCATCCTAAGTTGTTACTCTATTAATGCTACATTCATCCAATAAGGACACAAGTGAAGTGTACAGTACAGCGGGAGACTTAAACCCCGACCTCGATTTTGGGAAACCATACCGTTCCCGCTGCACCAAACCGCTACAAGATATAAAACTATTGTTGTTTTAATTACATTTGTGCTAATTCCATATTATAAATGAATTGTATTTGCATTGCAAATTGTTTCTATAAATTAATTCTAATTCTACTTTGCTGATTCTTATGTCAATAAAATTAAAATTATACAGAATGTATGTCATCATTGTATGAAGACATACCAAAAATATTAAGGGGACAATTTTGCATTTTTGGTAAGTGTCCCCAGAATAGGGATACCCCTATTCAGAGGACACCCCTATTAAGGGGACACTTTTTTTGGTCCCAAACGTGTCCCCTTAATACCCTTAATAAGGGTTCCACTGTGTGTGTATATATAAAT